AGAAACTGGGAAGACTCTCGGGGATAAAGAAGAGGTTTTTGAATGTCCCCTCTTACTGGAGAGAGAATGTGGCTCAGAGAGGCGTTTCGAGGTGCAGTGGTAATACTCTGGTGTGTCATGGACCTGGTTGCTTTTTGCTCAGAGGTCTTTTGGGATTTTAGACTGATTTCTGTGGCATGAATGGTGTGAGCATGTAAGTAGGCAAAAATATATTTAATATAGGGGTTTTAACAGATGTTTTTAGTGTAGTGTCTTTTGCTTTCATCCATCTTGCCAGCCCACTTGCCAGGGAAGCACACACACTCACCGCTGCTGCCCTGTTTCTGGCATATCGGTGCAAACGCTTCTTTTAACCTTTACCAGCAGCTGCATCAGCAAAACATGGAAGTGCTTTCAGGGCCTTTTGTAACAAGGTGCTTATTTTTGTTGGTTTGGGATGACAAGACCCTTGTTCAAAACCTGCCAGTTCTGCCTGCATCCCTGAAGTTACCAGAGCTTTTGAAGTAATGCACCATGAATTGGAAAGAGAAATGGAGGGAAAGAAGGGTTGGGAGTAGGGGTTTGTGTCCTTTTGCTTTGGGCTTCTTTTTCTATGTTGAGTTAAACCTTTTGGTATTGCTTAGTGGATGTGCTGCTTGGTTGGTTCATTTTGTTTTAAAAACCTGAAGAATAAACTCTGTTGGTAGGAGAGAATGAAATGACTCCAGCATGTAGAGCTCTTGTAATTTGTCAGAGGAATTGCCAAACTGCTGGCCTGTAAGAAGCTGCGGAACTCTCTAAGTACCTGAACGAGTGATCAACTATTTTGTTAATTTCTTAAATGTAACAGAAAAGGACAGAAATCTTTGAACAAAGGAATAACTTCATCTATCTAAAAATATACCTTTTTAAAAATAAATATATACATAGAACAAGAGAATTGAGGAAAAACTCCAGCAAGTTTTATTTCATGATTACTTTAATGTAGTTTTCACAGCAAGATGACTGGAATTTCTGTGGTGAGAACTCATTTTTCTGTGTGGGTGCTATCGGATTGGGTTGACCAGCAAAACATTGCACAACAACAGATTAAAACTGCTGAATGAAGTTAGTGAAAGATGGGCTAGGTATAGAAGTCAGAGGGTTAAACTTGGCAAGATGTAAAGTTATGAGACGAGGGGTTACGACTAGTTAATGGAGAGCAAATGTTAAAGAGGGTTGGACAAGGTTACAAGAAGGCTGTTAAGGAAATCTGCAAGACAGCCAAGGTGGAAAAAGTATAGTATATAGTAGTTGACGGTAATGCATGCCATTAACACATTTTTAGCTATTGTGTATGGAATATTTTAGTGGTACTTAAGAATTGGTGCTGCAGTGGCATTTGCAGTGGGTACTGCGTAACTTCAAAATTTGCAATGCTTACTTGTAATGACATGTGCCTACCACTTTCACTGTTTCACAGGTGACCTATCAAACCCAAGTTCAAGTGGAAAAGCTTTATAGCAAGAAATTAACAGGAAGATTTGTTAAGATAAAGACAACTTGGGAATGATTCAGGTGCCTGAGCATAGGTGTCTAGAGTAATTTCAGACACTTTTGGCCTCATAAAGCATCCCCATATCCAGCCTATGGTATTTAAAATGGCACTAGCTGCTTAGCTTAAGCTTACCTTAAGCAAGTGAATCCCATTCTTCATTTGACAATGCAGATGACAGGACAAAGAACCTTAAATAAAACTAGCATTTTCCACACCTTTCCTTAGTGTACCTATTAAAATAAGGAGGATCTCTGTTTACCACCACTGTAGTAATTCGCTTCATAAATGAAGCGCTGATGTAGTTAAAAAGATCTAATGATTTAAAAAAAGTGTAATAGGGACCATCTACATAACTCCACTTGTCTATATTGAATCTTGCAGTTAAGTGAATTGCATTTTTGTTTGTTCTTAACTTTCAAATGACATTCATGAAGAAGTAAGTGAGCTAAGAAATGCTGAGAAATACTAACTGCAGTTAGTAAGATTTAGACTTGGATTGCATCACATAGTTTTAATACAGTGCTCAGAAAATTAAATCTTTCTTAGACCAGCAGCTTTCTTCTCTGACTGTTGTTGTTCATGCCTTCTGAATTCATGAATTGAAGGTGAGCAAAGACAGGATTATCTTTCAAGGTTGAACCTCGAAAAAATCCTCAGAGGAATGAATTATGAATAAAATTGTTAAGTTTAACATGGCAATACCAGGTACATTTCTCCATAATAAATTATTATATCATCTAGGAAAGTCCTCTTAGTTTCTGTGAATAATATTTGATGCTTTTGCAGGGGAACAAAAATCTTCTGTAAGATGTTCTGTATACACCTTTTATCTGACTTTCAAATCTTTTCCTTCTATGCAGCTTTAAGTACAGAAGATGCTACTGAAATCAGTTGGCCATTACACGACAGGTGATTGATCCCCCCATTCCCTCCAACTATTTCAGTACTGTCTCTTATGTCTGTCCAAGTCTTGGTTTTTTAACTCACCTGTGAGTAGTCACAATATGTACTTGTTCCTCAGGTCTCTGCCTCTCTCTCTTCCCTTCTAGTTGAGCCTCTCCAATGCTGTTAGCTGGTGTCAGATTACCTCAGCCTTCAGGCTGTCTGTGCCATTTTTACCTCTAAATCAACTAAAAATAACCAAGCTGCTGTGGTTGAAATCTTCCAAAAAGAAAATTCAGCCCGACATGTGGACCTTGTACGAATTTTCAGACTGAATGGTTTAAGGCCATTCAGATCTTAAACAGCAGAATAGAGAGTCTCTAGCAGAATAGATAGAAGTATTGAGCAACCTCTGCCTTTTCAGGATCCAGAGGTGTTTTACATGAGTGCTAGTGCTTAACCACACTTCAGGGTACTCAAATTTGCTATAATAGCAAATTCGCAAAACTTCACCCATGTCCATTTCTTAAATGGCTGCCTTGGTGGAAAATCTTATAAATGTGGGATTATCCATCTGAAAGTATGTTTTGAGTATTTCATGAAGGTAAGTGAAGAAGATTGTCATGTACAGCATGGTTTATGAACTTTTATATGTACATTGCAACTATATTTGACCTGGGTTTTACAATAATGGCCTTTGCTTTCCTTCTTCCTCTTTCCCCTCTTGTGTTCAATGAAAACCTCATTAATTTCCGAGGGGGCTTTGCCATTGACTTCAGTGCTGTCTGATTTAGGGTCTAAAAGCTCAGTGCCAAACTATGTTTGTAAGACTAGGAATGAGGTTGGGATTTATTTAAGTGGTATTTTCAGTAGCAAGTTGTCAGTGAAGTCAGGAACTAACAGTTTAGGAGGAGGTCCCAAATGGGACTACCCTCCCCATTTTGACTCTTCCCCTCCTATTTTGTTTCTCATAGACTAGGAATGTCAGGCAACCGTTTGCTGTGTCACTGTCAGTGCCTCTGGAGTCAAGCTGCATCAAGAGGAGTTCTTCACAGAGCTGTTTTAGGAACTCTTGTTAGATTCTTGATACAAAAGGTAAGATTGAAGAGGAATGAAGGGAATTTTCCACTTAGTGAAATGGAACTACAGTTACTTAAACAATCCTCTCAAAAGTTTGAGTTAAAAAGCTGGTTTTCTTAACCAACTTTCTAGACAAAGAAGTTCTAAACATGATTTTTTTAAAATGTTCTGAATATTTTAAATCCTCATGATCTGACAGTTGAAGTTACTAGCCAAAGTTGTGCAATGTGTTTGCGTATTTTCCAATGTGAAAAAAACGTATTGGAGTATTGGAAAAGGAAGGACAAAATGTTGCATGGATGCTGTTATCTTAAAAAGTTTAACTTACTATCTGGTACTTTGCTGGATTTTGCATCTAATGTGAGGAAGGTTTATGTAAACGTATGTTTATCACCTCCGTGTTGAAAATACTGAATTATTGTACAAGGCAATTTTATACACTTATTTTTGATTTTAAAATACAAAAGGCACTTGTTTATAAGTGAGGGGTAATGGAGGGCTGTTACATTCAATGTAACACTTGTCATATTTCAAAAACTATATGTACATTAAGACAGTTTTCCATTAGGTAAAATCCTTTTGGATTCCTCTTATTAAAGACAAGAGCTATGTTCATAGCTAGTGAAGCCCCAAAGACATCCAACAGCAAAGAATTAGGCCTGATGAGAGGCATTTAGAAAAAACACATAAGGAATTGTTGCTGTTCTCTCCTATTCCTAATCTGTTGGTCCATGTTAGAAAACTACTCCACCTTGGAATGCTCTTTAGCCAAATCCTTTTTGAGTTGGAATGAGATCGGAGGTCAAAATGGGCAGGAATATCTTTAGTCTTTATTTCTGAAGCTGTTTCACCAGACATGATATATCAACTAAGTAAGGTTTTTCTTCTGAGCCCCATTTTGATTTAAAACCAGTTGTCTGAGTTGATAGAGGAAATAGGGTGCCATGCAGCGCCGGGAGCCCCATTGGAAAAATTCATATTCATGTCGGAGGTCTGTCCATGTATACAGGCATGGCATGGGGGGATTATGGTCTTGCTTAAATACTGTTTTTCTGTCCCGTTTTTTAGATCATGCTTTTTTAGGTGCTAGCTAACTAGCTGCTTGCCAACATCCAAAATGATGTAGTTTCTGAGAACCATTTCTCTTTTATTTTCATGCATATCTGAAAATTAATATATGCTTAAGAAGTATCAATCACATATGCTACCCTTAATTTTGGGGTGGTTTTGTGCATGTCTGTAGGCAACAGGGAAGAAGAATTATCCTGTTTGGGTCACTGGACAAAAATAATGCAAACCTTTATATCAATTTCAAAATAGTTACATAAAATGGTATGTGATGGTGAAGCATCTTGGGGTAATGCATGGGTATGAAACAACAAAATCAGTTGGCAAGAGTAGCAGCTCTACAAAGAGAATGGAAAACCATGGGTTTTTACCTCATTGCAACTAAGAGATACACATTTGTTAAGCAAAACAGTATAGCATAATGTTGCAATAGATAACCCTCAGCAAATAACAAAAAGGGGAAATGAGGGGATTGCATTTAACAAAAATAAAATTTAAAAACCTTTTAGTAGCACATCATGGAATTTTTTTGTTGTCTTTTTTTTTTAACGAGTTGAACAATATCCTATTTTTAGTGGAAGGTCAACTTGAACTTTGTTTAAATAGAGTCTCTGGTTCTGAATAGAGATAGGAACACTTTAAAAGTGATAACAAAAGGGAGGGCTTGGAGCCAGACCTTCTTAACCTATCGTTACCAGCAGAGGATAGCCATCTGTGTAGGAACTGCATTCCACTTAAATAGAGAGGGGTCCTTGTTCTGCGCTCAAAGTGCGTGCAGTGAAAATAGCACAGACTCATGTGAAAAGATTTTTTTTTTCTTTAAGAATTTGAAATGGGTCCAAAGAGAATTAATGAAAACCTTTTCTTCTTGAATGAAATGCTGCCATCTGATGTCACATCACCTTCTTTTTTTGTTGTCTTTTGAAGTAAATGCTTTTTCAATATCTTAAATATTACAACTGCAGTTCTGAGACCAAAAACTCCAGTACCTGCAAAAATGTACCTGCTAGAAATGTTATGAAGATAAGATTGGTAAAGCATTTCTAAACCAAGCAGAATTGTTTTGATTCTGCTGTCACCCGTACTGGTGTATATCCACTAGAACTTCATTTCTATCAGTGGAATTATTTCACTTACTGCTAATGTAGTGAGAGCATTGTCAGGTTCCTGAGTTTCCATGGTTACACTACAGTGGAGAATATTTTCCTTGCTGTGGCTGTAGGCTGAGGACCATAACACACATTTTTGGATGGCTGTTGGTTGAAAAGCAGAGTCTGGTATGCTAGTGCAAAGCCAAAAGTTCTGTAGCTGGTCAGGCTGTAGGATTCACACCTCTGCTGGAACGTCTCCTAGAATTTGTCAGTGTGTTGCAACTGGCTGGAACTGTATGCATTCAACCAAGGAGTAATTTTCATAGGGGAGAAGAATGTATTAGTTGACCTTACTAAGAATAAGAAATACTGGTATCTGGGTAACTTTGGCATGAGTATGGAAGATGAGATTATATTGTTTAGATTTTTAGTGTAAATTGTGTTTGGAAGCATTTTACTCTTAGCCTGTTTATTGGCCTCAGTTAAAGAAAGTGTGAGTAAGGTGCTTTAGTGACTAGATGGTTGTATCCCAGCGCTACATCCCTGATTCTGCCACTGGCATTCTGTGTGATCTTGAGTAAATAATTTTTCCTCTGTGATTCTATTTCCTTATGTGATATTGGAAGATGACCTCTGCTTGAAAAAGTTCTTTGGTGGAATGCACTGTAGAAAAAGTAGGCATGACTATTAAACAAGGAAAAGATAGCGTGTTCTGAATGTTATAACCCTGGGAAAAAATCTTCATTTGCTATCTCACTAGACATAAGAACGTCTGCACGAGACAAGTTCATTCAGGTGTGATGCTTTCCCCATCTCAAATGTTTGGTTTTTTCCATAAACCTTAATTAAAGCTTTTCATGCTTTTAGGTCAGTCATAACCTGTTCCTTGCCCTGTGGATTCTCTGGTATCCAGTAAGAATGAGGCTTATGCTGTGTTATTTTCCTTGATAGATTCATTATAAAGGATGATGTATGACTATGCTGAGAACTGTGTTGAAGAACTTGGTGGAAATCTTGTGTCCTTGGGAATTTCAGCTGCTTTTCAGATGTGGTTGAAGTTGGCCAATAGATTAAAAAATTGCTCTGGGGAGAAGGTAGACACAGAGGGAAGTGAAAGAGAATGTTTAAGAAAAAAAAGTTTGTTTTCATTTTTGCTCTCGGTGTTAAAAATTATCTTAGTTACTTCACTTCAAATCTACACCTAAATGCAAAGCCTGTTTAAATACAGTAGCCTTCAGTGAATAAATGTTATTAACAGATCTGAATCTTGCCACCTTCTTCAATTCTCCAGCCCTTCTTTCCTTTGTGGTGTCTTTGCATTAACAGACATGTTTCCTCTTGCTAGGGATAAGAAGTGATAAAATTTGAGGTGGTTAGAGTGTAGCCTGACAGCTTTGTATGGAAATGTAAATAATTTGGCAGGTGCGTTATAGCTTTTTGCTGGTGTTAAATGGGCCAGATCTTTCCCAGGTGTCAGAGGTGTTTCTCTATTCCAGGGCATGGTCTGACCCACAAAGTACAGCAGGTCTTCAAGCAAAAAAAAGTCCATGCTGCTGTATTGCAAACAGAACTGGTACATTTTAGCATTCTGAATATCTTATTTCATGTATCAGAGGATTAAAGAAAACACAGAGACTGTTTCTGAGTCTTAAACCTGATTTGCACTTGCTGTACTGACTCTGTAGCAAAAGGACTAATGTTTTATTCCCAGGGTGGTGTTGGCACCGATTGATGGAGCTGTAGAATAAATATTGAAATTAAGAACCGAACAACTAATAAAACATATGCTATTACATATTCTCAACAATGTTTCACGTCTTGGAAGTCATCAGGTGTCCTGGCCATGTGTATCTTCTTTAAAAATACTAATCCAGACTGCTTGGTTTTAATGTTTTCTCTTGTCCTCCCTGTTTTTCAGAAGGCAATAGGCCTGTGCATTTTATGAAATTGATATGATAATATATTGTATGTCAGTGTAGAGTAACATACAATAGAGAAAAAAAACCCAAAGAAAACAAATTTGGTGCCAAGTTACTGAGCGAGAGCCTTATGAATCCCTTTGCTGTCCAGCTCAAAAGTCTGAGACTGAGTCATTGCCTCGAGACAGAAGTTGGCATACAGTCAGAATGTATGGGAAAACAATAGCGCTGCTGCAAATTAGGAGAATAATCACCAGAAGTATCAGTAATGACATGTTTCATGTCATCTAATTGTTCAAAAGCTTTCTAACTTTAAATTTTTTTGACATATTTGTGCTCTAGTATATAGCTTTAAGGATGCCCATCCCCCTGCCACCCCTCCAGCGGCCACTATGTCCTGTCAGTCATCCTGAAATACACTGGAGAGCTTGTCAGGCAGTCCCTTGCAGATGCCTCAGAAGCCAAATAGTGAGCCATAGCAGTTGCACTGAAGTTCCTAACACAAGGAAATTACATAGGCAGTTGCTTTAGTGCTGAATATGGACCATTTATATTCTAGGATAGGTGAGTGATGTGCTATTGGCTTTCTAATGATCTAGCAGGAAATGGATTCTAAAGTTAACGTTTTCTAATTTATGCAGAATATCTTTGGCTCTGCTTTCTGACACTAATTAGTTTATCTATGTCTGTATACAGTGTACTTATAGATTGTTTAAAAGCTGCAGGTACTGTGTTCACATTGTATTGCAGATGGATACAAACTTTGACTGTTTTTCTTCTGTCTCTTTTTCTTATACCAAAAGACTCAGCAGTTGCAGTTTGGACACGTCTGCTGAAAAGACAAAATTCTCATTATCTTAAAGTTTGTAGCACTTCGTAGGAGTGTGCAGGTGGTTGCTCTTCTGGCTGTTCTGAGACACAACTGTATCTTGTGACACATGCTTAACATCCTAAGTGTTGTAAGAGCTGCTGGTCTACAGTGCTGAAATTGCCTACTGTAAAGGTTAATATAACCGAGTGTGAGGTTATAGAAGCCTTTTACCAAAATATCTTGCAGTCGAGATCCCTGCTGTAATTAGAGGGCGTATTATACTGGAGTAGACACATGCATTTTAAAAAAATAGAAGATGGACTGTGATTCTCGTTTTCTTCTGAGGCAAGCACCAAAATTTGTTGTCTTAATGAAAATGATCTGGAAGGACAGAAGTTCACTTTCCAAGTGGAGATATCAGAGAAAACCCCAGAATGATCTTTACTGGCTTCATATTTTTCTTTCTATCACCTATTACTCTTGCCTTGATTTAAAAAAAAAAAAAACCAAACCACCCTATTTAAATACTGACTAGCTAATATGGTAAATAACAGTAAGGAGAGCCTAGTAAGTTAAAAGTATGTAATCAGGGTATCAAAATAATTTAAGATTTTGTAGTTTTCACTGCATTGGCTTGAAAGCTTGTTTTCATATTTTGTCTGCTTTAAGGAAGTTTCAGGAAGCATTAGAATTTTACTTTAAAAAAAAAAAAAAAAAAAGACTAGAATCAGCAAGTGAGCCCTTAAACAGGTTATTTATACCTTAGAATATAATTGAAATTTTCAGAAACAATAATTTTTGCAATTGACTTTCAGTTAATGATAAGTTATGGACCTGACTCAAGGCTAAAAAGCTATTGTTGAGTTCAAAAGCCGGTTGAGCCAGGGCTCAAGTGAAAAATAAAAGTGCTTATGTTAGACAATATGCTAAAGTTAAAAAAACCTCAAAAAACCAAAAACCAAAAAACCCCCGAACAACCCAGAAAAGGGAAAGTTACAGCAAGCACATGAATTCATTTTTCTGATCTGCAAAAATGGGATTGGATTTGTAACACTTCCCAAGTTTGAGACTGCTTTAGTGGTAGGATTCTGGAGCACAGTGATCTCTAGTAAGAGGAAGTGACTATAATTACATTTTTGTCTGCCAAATTTTCAAAAGATCTGATCATTGTGGACGACCTGTAGTATAAGCAGCAAAGGTTTTATTTCTGAATTTTGAGTAAAGCAGTTGCTGACACCCTTCTATCAAGGAATTGAGGGGAGGCCACTGTGAAGTTGTATGGATGTAGCTGCAGAAAAAATAACTTGCAAATCATCTACCGATTTCAAATCTCAGTAGAAGCATGAAGTGCTACCTCCATCCAGTTCTTACCTGTCCCCTTGCAACTGATGTATGTCTTGACCAGAAAAAAATTCACAGCACAATCGATACCATCTATTTGTGATGGATTTCAAGAAGTACCTGTATACTGGGAGGCTTGTGAAAATGTCAAAGATAAGGGCTGTGAACCAGCAATATCGTAAAGATTTTTTTTTTTAATGTGAATAAAAGGCAGATTAATTGAAGTGTTGACCAAAGATTTAGAGAACCAGTGAGCTGCAGATGGCAAAAAAAAGTCTGTCTTTTCGAGAGTGTGAAATGATGTGGTTTGCTGCAATCCTAGTGAAGCTGGAGGAGAGTATCTTTCTGAATTAAAAGGGTTTTTGATTCAGGGGTGGACACAGCAGAAGCAGCTTTTCAGCAGCGTGGGTGCTTCTCTGCTGTATGTTCATAGGCTGCACCGACACGCTGACAGGTGGGCACAGGCGTGATGCACTATTTGCCAACACTGCAGTCAAACAAAGGTGCATGCACCACTGTTTTGTTATGGGAGAGGCAGTTTAATAAGCTATTGAAGAGCAAGGATGTGAATGACAGACATTTGTGGCTTTCAGAGCAAGTCATTAGTACTGTAGGAAAGCTTACTTTAATGGATTAAAAAGGATCTCCCATTAATATATGCTATCTTTAATTCAAGGGATTGTGTGGAAGTCTGAATGTTGGGGGAACCTGGCTTCCAGGTTACTGATAGTTCCCTTGCTAGTATAATAAATGTTGCTGGAAATAATTGTATAGCTGTAGCTATAAGAAAGCTAGAATTTTCATCTACTTTGCAGACGTAAAACCTTTCTGTATATTCATTGGTCAATAAAATGATGCAGTTAATAGGTGTTGGCCCTTTGAGACTGCATTTTGTACTAGACCTCTCACTTTTGAGTTTATAGACTTTACTTACATCATTATATGTTTAGAGTATTTCCAAAGAATTATATGGTTGAGAAATCAGTTTCACTTTTGTTTTTATTTTCTATACATAAAGAACAAATGGGTATTAACAGTGAGAATCACTATAGATAAAATAAGAAGTAAAAAAAAAAAAAAACCACAAACCTGCTGGTGTGAGTACAGAGTGGGCATGTCTTTGGCCTGAGCTGTAAGAATAAGCTCAGCTCACCAAGGATGTTATGTGTACAATATAAAGAAACCAGGAGGTGTTGCACTTTCATGATGACCTAAGCTGTAGTTGTGTGAAGCCCTCTGGGTGATTGTGAGTTTGTCTCTTAGTGATTCCTCCACTAAACAGCAGATGGAAAGAGCCTGCCTTATTTCTCGCTTTGTTGCATACACAGTGTATTATCAAGAATTGATAGCCTGACCATAACAAACATACTGGGCTAGATGGACTGTTGGTCTGATTAAGCAGGA